AAACTCTTGAAGCGTTTTGGATCAATGCCAAAAATTCAAAAATGAACCGCAAGGAGGAGTATCTTGTCATCACGCGTGACCTAGCGCCATACCTCAGGCTGATCCAATGATCTGACATGGACCCAGTTATCGACCATGTATTACTCTGTGCGGCGGCTATCCACCAACTAACTTAAATACTTACAACAAATAAACGGTAGGTGTTTGAATGAAGCTGTTTCTTATGCGAATACAAATCGATTTATCAAGTTTTATCTGCTAGGGTTATGAAAGTGTTTGGCTGAGTAGATCGCATCTCAATTTGACCTTTCCAGGCTCTGAAGAAGGCGAAACCGCCGAAACGTCAGCAATTGTGTTCTAATAAATTCTATATTAACAACCTCGTGTCTGCTTATTGATGAAAAACATTGAATTATCAATTAATGCCGAGGTTAACAGAAAGTCGGTCATGGGAATTATTCTTAGATTTTTTAGCAAACACTCAGAGGTGCTTCCAAAACAGCAGAGTTTCCTTTAACCACAGCGATCTAAGCAATTAGTCGACAGTTGGTCGAGTGCGATGAAGGCCGTATCCTTAAAAACTAAACTATTTAAAGTAGTTGAAAAGCTGGGATTCATAGCAGAGGTGGTTGGCGTCGGGTTGAAACAAGCAATTCTAGGTAGGGCCACTCAAAATGGAGGTGTCCGACGTTTTCATTCGTATGGTCAGTTGAGATAAACATAAACTTGGTGTGTTCTGTTATGGCTAACCTCAATGCAGGAAACTACCACAAACAGTTACGCACTTACTAAATCTATCGAACAGTTCATTAACATAGAGTCTCCAACTGTCGTAAGTGTTCTTGAGAGGTAGGGTAGTGGAATCGTAAACCAAGAACTGGACCAGTAAACTTTATTACGTTGTCGTAGTTGCAGCAATCCAATTCTATCCTATTGTATCTTAATCTTACAAGCTTTCTCTTTTAAGTGAAAATAACCATTTTTGCTAACAGTTGGATAAATGAGGTCTTATCTCATTATTTTATATTCTAATGGTAACATTAGCGCAGAAGTAGGCATATCTTCTTGTTCTGTGTTTGATATTTGTTAGACGAACTAGTTAACATCTTTGTTGTTCGGTTATTATCATCACTTGTTCGATCCAGACCATTTTTGATATATGGGAGTAGACGGTATCGTGTCTGACCGTTGAACGTCTTTGGAATTTAAATTTCTAACTTCGCATGCTATTAGCGTGACACGAGATGCCTCCTTATAAAATCACTGCTTTTATAGTGCGTTTCCAAGCTGATTAATCTTTCATCCTACTTATTCAGGTTTCGTAGTAGTACGTTAATGCGGGAGGAATCGCAGAGTTATGAACATTGGTACTTAATCTAGCGCACATATTTCCTTTACTGTTTCCTTTACCGTCTTCAACTGTAAATTCCCCAAAGTGCTTGGTTGCTTCTTCATGAATTCTGCGGCTGTCTCGTAATGTTGTATTTCCAACCCAGGTACGCATAAAGTTCGGAGATATTCGTTGCTTGAAAAAACTGATTTTTCCATATACGATATCGAAATCAGCTAGCATTCGTTCCCAGCTGGCTGATGTGTGACGTCATAAGTATGCCACTTACGCTGTTTACATTCTTTTTCGTGCTATCTCGTGTAACTTTTCACCGGGCGTTCTTAAAAGTCAGTGTGAATAATCTTCTGGAGGAAGTATGGGCTCAACTTTTCAAACCCATATCTTGAAGTGGATGGCAACTTCATTGTACAACAGTAATATTGCAGGACTACATGGATATGTGAAAGGATAAAGCTTTCGACGTTGATTAGTTTCTGAGAAATGCGTCATGCGTTCGACTTAGTCAAGAATCGTTAGACGTGATTGAATGCATATCTGGCCTTTACAATGACTCACGGTGGCCTACCGAGGTATCGAGCCAGTGCTGCTATTCTCCCATAAAAGTGGTACCAATATGCCGACTCCGGAAAGATGAAAGGCTTGGTGAGCCTGGGGCACGGCCATCGATCCCATCTGCATTGCAGGGCCCCTCCACCACTACGCTGTGCTCGCCCCACAGGTATGTAGTATAATATTTTCTAATGGTTCCAGTCTTCGAAAAGGGATGGTTAGAATTAGACTTTTCTTCAGAAATCTATGAGTAACTTTGTGTTTTCTTCACCATAATCACCCTTTTCAGCAAAACCTGTTGCATCATTAACTGTCTTCAAAGTTGAATTTTTTGTTCTCTTTACAGATTAGAAGAGGAAGGAATTGTTGGTTTTTACTCTGGCATCAGAGACGAATTAGGATATCTCTTTTCCAAGACGCAAGCTATACTTTGGCGCGTAAACCGCCTTCTTTTCCGACGTCTAAAGCTACCGTATCCTCTAAAAGGTTACTTATTTCTGCTTGTGATATTTTATACGATTATTTTCTGTAGAGCTTCTTGTCACCTTCCACATTTTCATGCACGGAGTTCTTGTTCTTGGTGAATGGATTTTAGTGTAACTTTTGCAATTTCAGAGAGGACCCGAATATTGTCATTGGCCTACGACTACCAGTGTGGATTTTCATTGGGCAATCAAGCGAGTAGTAGTGAGTCCTCTGAGCATGAAACACCGCTCCGTTATCAATTTAAGGCTTGTGTTTTCTCTATTAAGCACCTTCCTCTAAATGGATGAATAGTATATGAACAGAAGGTGTTTCACAAGTTTATTTACATGGCCCATCACACAGTTGAAACCGGGCGTTTCAGAACTTTCAATAACAATTCTCACAATAGTTCCGTTTTAGCACCTCGATTTGAAGCATTGTGGCTTTCCTGTCTTACATCGAGAAACGTTCGTAGAGGCTTTGGTTGTTTATTCCGTCAATCATTTTGACGATTGGATTCCTCCCACTGCTCTCAAGAAATACGTAAGCTTTTACCTTTTTTTTGGCTGATCGTTCTTTAAATTAGTTTTCAATTTGGTTTTTCTTTCAAGAATTTTCAGTGGTGTTTGGTGCATCTTAATTTTTCAGGTAGTAACCGAGGAAGTTCTTTCATTGTTCCCAACTAAAAGGAATAATTCGGAGTTGATTCATCAGAGCGATCTTGATGCTGCAGTGTCATTTCTGGATTTGGACGTGGCTTCTGAAACGTCTGAATCTGATTCTGATTTAAGCAATGAGGATGTTGTTGAAGATCAGAGGTCAGCTACAAATAGTATTTCTGTTCAGTCTTAAGCAACAATTGCTAGTTAATTAACTTGCGTGTCGGATGCAAGAAAAGGCTACTTTATAAAGGCAGTTCTCTTTCGTTAATAGCTTTTCCATGTTGTTCATTTGCTAACCTATCATTTGTTGTCTTCTTGTGCTTATGTATTCACATAGAAGAAACAACTTTGTATTGTCGGCAGTTCAAATGATGGGGGCATTTTTATAAAATTGGCGATATATTCATAAATGCTGTTTAAAAGCAGTGATAAGTTGACAATTAATGAAAACAAAGGTCCAAGATTTGCTGAGCATTCAAACAATCAACCTCTCAGTAGGAGTGGATCCCTTTGTTAACTACAGGGTTACATATTTTTTTAGAGTCAATGTCATCAAATTTATATCTGTGAACAGTCAAGGTGTTTAATCGTACCACATTTCCTTCTAAGAGAACCATTTAAACTGTTATCATTAGTGATTAGTATGAGATTTTTTAAGATTACCGATGTTTTCGATGATCTTCGCTAATTTGAAACACTACTCTTGTAAGCAAATAGTAAGAGCCACCACCATCGTGGTACCAAACTACTCGCATGGTGGCAGATCTCCCTCTGAACCACAGAGACGACGACTGCGTGTGGTGATGACGAATTTTGGCAAACTTCGGCTAGGCTGGCCTCGGTACTCCAGGGAATCGCAATAGCCAAACCATCAACATTCCAGAAAAGTGGAAATTATGCTGGAATCCGCACAACCAGTGAAGACGTGGCATCAAAGTATCCAAATATCCATATAGGGTTCCACAATAATTATAGTAACTAAAACTGTACATACAGTGTTGATTTAATCGTTTCTCGAAAAGGCGTCTTATAGTACGATTTGTTAAGATTACATGTTTTTGCTTTTTTAAATTACGCTTTAGAAGCCGATCATTTTCACGATTTTTTAAAAAGCATCTATAACCGATACTTGATACTTAAATGGCCCGTCCTCACTGTTCGTGCGAGCCCTGGCATAATCTCCATTTTTCGGAGATTTGCTGATTAAGCCGTTGTGGTTCCCTGGAATCCCAAAGACAGCCTGGTCAAAGTTTGGCCCAGATCTTCACCACCACGGGCAGTCACAGCCCTTGTGGATCAGAGGGAGATTTGCCACGATGCGACTTTAATACCAGGACGGTGGTGAATCCTGGTATTAGTTATCTATAATCAATAGCCTTACTTATAGAATGAATAGCGGAATTTAGGACACTGAACTAACTGCACTGCTTGAAATACTTGGATCACAGTACTTGCAGTGATAAGGTTGCTTTCTACACGCAGTGCTCTGGTTTGACTCAGCATTAGACCGTTCAGGCTACCATCTCACCTTTATAGGAAAATCGGTAACAGACTTATCTGTGAAGAGCCCATTTAGGTCCACTAAGACGATGCAGCGTTTGAAAAGAAATTGTTGCTAAAATATTTGTAAGAAAAATAGAAGTGAAAATTCTGCATTATTTTCCGAACAACCCAATAAAAACGTGAAACTAAGTAGCGCTGACGATTTCTTGTAAATAGAACTTGAATGAAACGTTTTTCTTGAAAGTAATGGTGCTTTGCATCTTCAAATGTTATAGAATTAGCGATATTAAAAAGAGCGTCATGTCCTTTTTTACGTATTATTTTCTTCTGACGTCAATGCTGCTGCTAACTGTTGAATTGTACCGATCGCTTCGAAATCTCAACGAAAAAACGGAAGGTTTTCAAACATACTTTTACATGAGGGTTTTCAAATACACTGACCCATGAATAAGATTCAAAACCGACCATCATTTAATCTCGGCATGAATAGTCAATATTTTTTCCTTTGGACTGGTCAGCTTACAGGGTCTGTATTGTAATGTAATATTGATTGAATTCGTGCCAGCTGTTGTAATACCATAATGGATTATCTTCATGAAACGATACCATTGTATAAAAGGATATCGCCGAGCGAGGTTACTTCATTCAAGTGGTGTTCAACAGTATTCGACCTAGTGAGACTACGAAAACCCATATCGGTAGAATGATTGGCGATAGACAATCGACTCGAACCAATCCTACCCTAGGAAGACGAAACGTCGAATTCTTATCCGAATAAATATTTCATACGACTAGGAATAAATATTTCACATTCGCAGTGACCACTGTTCCTGTACGACGCTGCAATTTAATGCGAATCACGAATGACTGGATTGAATTCGAATGAATGAATTCGAATAAATTCTGAATGAACTGTATGAATTCGTGGAGCTGTTTCGAGAATAATCCATATTTTGTGCTCTAATTCGCATTCCTGATTTTCAAATTAACAGAGCAGGTAGCCCTCTGGGTGGTAGCTGTGCAGTTCATTGCAGTCATGGTCTTTGCTAGAGGGGTCAAATCGGAAGTTGAGCAATTGGTACTAGATTTGTCTGGTACCATCTCACTCCATCTAATCCACATGGAAACGTTCTAGCATAGCTCTCACAGGATTCCATGGGAGGTCGGCTGGACCAATATTCAGAGAAAATTCATTTTAAAAAGTGAAAATCATCAATCAACATTCCACACGAAAAAATATGATGAACTTTGTGGGCGATGAATGCGAGGAAACGAATGAAATACAAGTGCCAGCATCCGTATGATATGTGACGTCGTGTGGTGTAATTAGTAATTTTAATAGATTTAGAATCCACAAGCAGTCATTTTTTGGAGAACGCATTGGCCGTTGTGACTGCTGTAGAGGTCACTTTGTTTTGGGTGATTCACTTTGGCGGCAGAATTGTTTCCCAGCACTTCTTGTAACTGTTCGATTACTTATTCAACGTCTATGTTGTGAGAGGCCTTTGCCAGCGACAGCTCTATTCTGCGTTAAGAAATATTTAGGTGTTTTCTCGAACGAGTTCATTGGTCGCTATTTTGATTGATTGTTGACTGTTGTTTCAATTTTAATCGCTGTAATGAATTATTGTATGGAATGCGCGGTTACATAAAGTGGCGGATCATAATAACACACAGTAAATAGCAGTAATATATACCACTTATACCAGTGGGTCGATAGACAAAGTCTTTTCTATAATGCTTTGATGTTCTCGGCCCGATAAATGTTCTGGTCATCAGAATATTATCGTTTGTTTTCCGAAGCCAGCAAGTCTGGCAAAAACATGAAATCAGGTTTCGTCCACTGTGGCTTGCGTGCTTGATGCTTGAATGGTCGGCCCTCACTAGTTGTGCGGGCCCTAGAATAATTTCCAATTCTCGGGGATTTGCTGGTTAAGCCATTGTGGTTCACTGGAATCCAGAGGACTGGAACCGCCGGACTCCTTCTTAGCTTGAGAGATCCTGCCAGCAAATGTGTCCCACGCTGTACATCGCAGTCCGACACCCAGAAATACCTTCTCGCTACGTTGAGGCGGTAAACCGTTAGGAGGGGCCACTGTGGCAGCTGAGCAAAATTAGGTGTCGTCGCGGCTAAGCACGCAGGGATTGAAGGCTTAGTGAGAACGGACCGAGGGTTGGAACCAATGATCGATTTGCTCTGTACTACTACTCTTGTACTCTGTACTTTGTCACTTCGCTACACGCTGGGTTTAATGCAAATCCATTTCATTTTGTGGTTCTGGTATCATTGAAAATTTCAATTTTTACACAGTGACTATATACCTTTTTCTCCAGTCAGAATATCAAAGTACGAAATGTTGATGCACTGAAAGCTTCAGTAAGCATGTGAAATTCAAAAGTAGGCCATTCACATTTTACACCTGTCATAACATCTTCCATAAGTTGCGCCAATGTTTTTGCCCCTAATTGTACGTATGATGATTTCGATGCAGGAATTTAAATGTTTAACAGTTGTGGTTTACTCGTTGATAAACTAATCACTGTTCACTAAGTTCGATGTCGGAGTTAGTAAGAATCGGTAATCTTATTGAAATGAAACGAATAGCCCAGAATCGTTGAGTAGTGCATGCTGTTTTTCGGTGATTCCTAGAGAACTGATTAATAGCGAAGAAATGTTATGTGGTAATTCGCTGACTAGAGAGACATGCAATTAAACGCACTACAAAGCAGTAATGCACTTCACTCCTTATGTAGTTGTGTGAATTTGCAGTCAGTGCTTTAGAAGTTAACTGCTCGTCTTGGTTTCGAGGGTTAAGCCGTCTTTTAATACTCTATGCTGTACTTTACTACGAAGTACTACAGCAAAGTCTTTAGGGAACAATAATGGTTCTAGAGTTGCTGAAAATTGATGGCAACTTTCTCACTTCTCAAAAGTCCAGTGGATAAATGTAACACTCTGTAGAGAACAACACGTATGCATTAAAAATGGTGAAAAATCCTGAAAATTTATAGCGAGAGTAACATAGAGTAATTGGAGAGTAGATGTCAATGAGGAATTTCATCAAACAGTTCAAAATATCAAACGGAACTAATTCGTATTCACTGTGGGCAATGTTAATAAGAGCATCGCTTCCAAGAGTATTCCAGTGGGCTCTGCTCTCTTTAAGGACTCGTTGAGCATCATATCTTTCTTTCAAGATTTTGTTGAAGGACTCTTACCATCAATATGGTGGTTATCTTTCTGTTGTAAGTTTGACATTGCGAGAAATCCAGTCGCTAACTGATCTTTTCCATCGGTTGTCGTTCATACGCACTGCGTGTCCGAGCGGCCTTATTTTCGACAATTTGGCATGCAGAACGAAGTCTTTGATTTTTGATCATTGAAGGTCAAAGGTCAGATTCCTTTCCTCACTTGAATGATACGTGAGATTTGATCGTCCTTTCGACTGCGCGTTTTATGATGCTGAGTGATCTTTTATCATGTTTACGTTGCGACCACGTCTCTGAGACACGTTAGGGCAGGAAACGATCGTAGACCGAAAAGTTGGGATCGGAGTCAAGTGTTACTTCTTCTACTCACCACATCCTTGATGCTCTTCCGAAGCTTCTCTCTGCTCAGATTTGCAGCTAAGTTGTTCATCATTTAGACTTCACGACCTAGATGTACTAGAGCATACGGAAATATTC